AAATGTACAGTAGCTGACCATTGTCGTGTTAAGCATGGCCTAGTAGATGAATGCATGCTTTATTTTATAGAACATCATATACCTTTGCTATATGAAGAGTGTTAGCTTACAGTATCTCACAGTTACCCACATCCATTGTTTTAATATAGAAACACTGTCCTACTTGTTAAAACTGTCTTTTCTGTTAATATTTCATGAAGATATATTTACTTTCTTTAGCATGGACCATAGGATAATTGTCAGAGATTGTATAAGATGCTTTAGTTTGATTCAAGGAATCTTGGCAGTCTTTAAGGAGCAGCAGTATTTATTACCTCTGTCTTTAGAACAGATGGTCCTTTTGTCTGAAGACCCACAGTTGTACAGCTGACTATATACCGAGGAGCTTTGCATGTTGCCATTGCAACTTTCTGCAAAATAAGAAGCTAATACTTCCATACTCTATGGTTTGGCTGAAGATGCCAAAAATGCAAGAATACAAAATAGTCCAAGTCTTTCAGTGTAATACTATAAGATGAGTATGAGTACATATCAGAAGACAGCTGAGAAGCTGTGCGGCATCATCCAACTGTGAAGGTCTCTTTGGCTGCAGGATTCACTGGGCAGCAGTGTGCGTGACTGGTTGATCCTTATGGCAGCAGCCCTTGCTGATTCTTCGGGGCTCTGTTTGGAGGTGAAAGTGGTGCTTCCTGCTGCTAATGCAGCCCTGTTGACAATTTGGGAGAATCTGCCATGGCTGCCACAGGGATACAGGTCCAGGTAGATTTAGAGTGAAAGAGAAGTCCATTAAAACAGAAGGAGGAACTAGTTCTCCTAAATACATATCTCTTCAATCATAGTTCTCAGCCTTCCTACTCTGAATCCCTCAGGATCCCTGGGGCAGATTGCCTTCCTCTATTTCCAGTAAATAGCCTTTTGGAGCTAAAGAGCGTCAGCTCCTTTAAAAAACACATGACTCAACCTGTAACTCTTTATATCAGCTCTCTCTCTTTCCTGATTTTTTTCTGGTTAGATGAGGACGGTGTGAGCATTTGGTCAGGTTTTGTCCTTTAATAACAAAGAATGCCCGAGTTCCTAGGCCAGGAAGGTCATTTGGACCGTATGGGTATCATTTGCAGAGCAGGAACTTGCTCTTTTTTTGGAAGAATCTCTAAGCTATATGTTACTTTATCTGCCTGAGCATTGCTGGAGGTGTTTTCAACTTCAATTATCAGGCAGGCAGCAGACTAATTTGCCTGGTAATCAATTCTAAAAGCAGTCAGCACTTCTATTTCCACTTTCAGCTTTGAGAAAATTGAAAAATACAGCATGTGTCATTTACAAGTGTCTTCTACGCTGTTCTAGATATAGACAGAATAAACAAAGAAGTCATTGAGGTCAGGTTGTGAAGTGCAACAATAAATAAGGAAACATGGAACAGAATGTAAAACTGTTAGAGCAAGCTTCATTTTAAGACCAAGATTGATGCTGCTACAAGGACTCAGCTTTATCTTTTGGCAAAATAGAGACTTATGATAATTATAATAAGTACTGGAGTTATAAAAGTTTTTAGTTTGTCATTCATCTGCTCTTGTTACTTTACACAAGTCTCTGTTCTATGCAGTTTTGGTTTCCCTTTTTTGAAATGAGGATGATTAGAATTCTCTTTACCAACTAAAAGGAATCAGCTGACTTTATTTGAAGTTGTATAAGGTCTTATGAAAATGTTAGTGTTTTTCTACATTTAAGCTAAACTACAGAAAGACTGAATAAGGGACTGTTTTCATAAATTAGGCATTTTCAAATAGTTTGAACCTACAGGTATCCCTCTGAGAGGAGTTAACTGGAAACTCTGAAATCATATCATTTTAGTTTGAAAATTGTTGGAGGATGAATGCAGCTCTCTAGAAAGACACTATGTCCCTTTTTAAACTTGCTTTTAAAGAGAGCTTTATGATTGCTAACCTAATTCAGTTCCCAGGAAGGTACTGGAGCAAATAGCAGATTTGTACAATATCTAGGGGACGGTAAGTAGCAGGGATTTCTCAGGACAAATCCTCATCACACAAACCTGAATTCTTTCTGTGGTTGGGTGAAAAGAATGCCAAGGTCTGTAGACCCGTGAAATTCATTTGTACCTTACGGACATCGGTTGTATAACGGGAACTCTCTTTTCTTTTTGAAGGATCTCTAATCCCATGAGAACTTAGCAATATTCACCCTCAAACTGAAAGGATGTGTTGACTGTAAAGCTTAGAATGGTTCTGTCCAGAATCCGTCAATATCCACTATTTCCATTAACTATTGAAGTGATGGACCAGTAAGTGTATTTATTAAAGTTTCCCAATCTGAGAAGTGCTGTAAGCGCTGTGGAGGTCAGAATTCAGAATGGCCCTTGTAAATTAAAAGAAAAACAATCTAAAATTTATTAAGGAGAGGGACATTAAGGCCACTATTAGTTGTGGAAAAAAGAATCTTGATTCTTTTTTTTCCAAAGCCTATAAACTGGCATGGTGTGTATAATAAGCATGAAGGAGGTCTTCCATTCTGCACAGCAGTGATGAGGCTTGGGCTGGGTCACTGTGGTGAGGTTTAGGTACCATACTTGAAGAAAGATGTGGACCAGTTGAAGAGAATCAGGAGAAGACCATCAAAAATTATTTAGACGTCTAGAAAACATAAGTGACTAGGGAAGATCGAAAGGACTGAATTTATACAGTCTGAAGAAGAGAAGATTAAGGTGTGACATGTTTTAAGAATTGTAGAATATTGATGCAAAATGAAATTTCTATTGAGGAAGTAGTAACCTTGAATTTCAAGAAGGGAAATCTAAACCAGATGCTAGGAAAAGCCTTTAAATAGTAGTGAAGCACTGAAGCGTCACAGATGGGGGTTGGGAAATCTCCATTACTAAACATTTTTAAAAATAGGCGAGACAGAATTTCTGTGAGAAATAACTAAGCTATAGTTGATGCTGTGTCCAGATAAGAGCATGGACTGGGCTTATGATCCCTTCCAGCTCTGTTTTCTATTACTTGTTTTTTACTGTTGTTATTCAAGTGCTTATCCCAAAGGTCCAATTACATGCATTTTCACACTTTCTCCTTGTGTTTAGCTTTTGGGGGGAAGCAATCATTCTGTGATGCTAATGAACAGACCTTGGACTACCTTTACCAGGGCATGCTCAGAATATTCCAGATACAAGGTTCATATCCAAGGCAAACAGGAACTTTTGCAAATGATAGTTAAAAATTGAAGCACCTTTGCCAGAATGAACATTATTGGATAGTGTTTCGTCATTCCAGTGTATCCAAGTGAAACCATCACTTAGAAGGCTGTTCTGGCTTTCTTATTCTTTTAATTAATTACATCGTTTGCAGCATATTCTAGGGTTTTCAGAATCTCTGTGCCGCGGAGGGAAGCAGGAGAAGGTGGTTCTAACTTCTGGGTTTCTTTCCTCATTTTTATCCCTGGTAGGGACCAAGTGAGTAATAGTCTGTTTTATTATTTATTGTGCATTATTCATTGAGGTATCTCTTTTTATGACTCTCAGGTGATTTGTATGCAGTTCCAGACGTTAAAGCCGTATTGTCTGTCAACATATGCATTGCTTGATTTTTCTCATTTTATTTGCAAAAATAATAAAAAGTCTGCATCTTGTAGTCAAAAAGTTCCATTATCCGCTTCTGGAACATGGTCTTAGATGAAGAAGAAACATACCAAGCACAGCTATTCTATTAGTATTTAAATTATTCCTCTGCATTATTGGTTTTGAATATTTATTAGTTTTTGATAACCTCTTTCATTATTCATGAAGGGTAGCCACACAATTTGATGAAAAAAGCGGTACAATGAAATCTTGTTTTGCATAGCTGGCATCTTTCGTACAAGCTGCTCTCCAGTGTTTTTTTAACGAAGGCCCAAGCCTGCGAGGGGCTGCGAACCTCTGTCCTGCCGCTTGCAATGTTCCTCTCCTGCTGGCTTCGATGGGAGAGGAAATCCTCCAGCACCTCACCACACAGTGCCCTGTAGCGTAGTTAAGGATGAAATAATAAATAGCTCCCAACAGAGCTGGAAATGAAGAGGCAAAGGCCAGGGAAGAAAAATGCCTTTTCAGATAAGATTTGAAAAAGATATGAAAGATCACTGAGGTAGAGAGAAAGAGAAGGAAAGGTTGTTTTAGGTGATTTATGGGGTTTTCTTTTGAAGCCCACAAGGCTCCAAAGAAGCGAGGGGAGTTGCCGTACTGAGGGCAGTATCTGTTTACATGTTGTGCATCTGGCAGTAGCGAGCATCGCGTGCTTCGTAGAAAGGCATAAAACCCCACAGGAAGCGGATTGGGGAAGGATTGTTTTCACGTATTAAGTCTCACCCTCATCTCTAAATTGTTTAGGTTTGTTTAAACCCTGAGGCTTGGTATATGTTCTAAAAGGTTTAATATCACTACCTGTATTCATAACTCTGTACGTATGTTGTTGTTATCAATATACTGACAAAGTTTGCTTTTGACATACTGGTAGGTATTTGGTCTCAGAAACATTTTGTGTCAGTGATCCCCCAGTCTAAATAATGCAGATGTTGTGTATGTGGGTACTTGCTTTTATCACTTTTGAATTTGACATATTCTGTCTTCAAAGACATCCCTTTTCCCTTATGTTATATTTTTGACTAATGGCGCTCTCTCCTCAAGTTGCATTGTTTTGATGACTATTAAAACTTAGAATATCTTTTGACCATCTTTTAAGTCCTCCCCTTTATTCTCTCCCAGACTGCAAGGTGAATTATATATTTTAGTGTTTCTGACTCTTTGTTTATTTGCACATCTCTTATGTGATAGTGACCGTTTGTCGAGACAGTCTGTCTAGAATCTGAAATACAACATGGACCTCAAGAAATTATAGGCCAATTTCTGTGTTAATCTTGTAGATTGGCGTGCAGCTTGCTTACCTCTGTAGAGCCTGGATCTTGAAAAACATGATAGTCCAAGGTAGGATTATTGACCAATTTCTTTTTGTTTCCAGCTGAGCTGCCGGGATCATCTGCAATCAAGCTTTCCTCTTTGCGTGATCTCCCAGCTCAGCTACAAGAATTGTACCAGCAGGGCTTCATCTTGGCTGCTGTCCACCCTTTCGTGCAACCAACTGATGAAAAAGAGAAGTCTCCCCAGGAACAAATCTTCAGGGCTGTGCTGATCAAGAAAACAGAAAGGTAAAGCACTTCCAGTGAACTAGGATAAAAATAGACAATGTGATTTCCTGCTGAGTTTTGACCTACATCAGGAAATTATCGCAGTTTACTGTGCAAGACTTGATTTTTTTTTTTTTTTTTTAGGCTTGAATAAGCTTAAGATGTTCTTCATGTTTACAATTCATCTGCGCTTTGGCAGACTGCTCAGAGAATAACAAGCTGAAATATGCTCTATATTTTGGGATGTGTTGTCATGAAAGGCAAACAAACAAACCCTATGCCTGACAATTTGTGAGGATGATCTAGCTGGTGCCCCTTAATAATTTATTGATTAGATTAAGATAGATTAAATGTTTGCTTAGAAAAGGCATATTTTGTGTTTAGACCGTTAGATGTAGTGCAATTAGTTTGAGCACTGCAGTGCTAATGCATACTTCTAAAATTTTTCTGTAGACTTTAGGCCTCTTTTTGTCCTAAATGGTACAGGTTCTTTTAATTTTTGAAGCAGTACAGACTCCTTAAATAAAAAGATGAGTCTCTCTGCTTTGTTCAGTGTCTTAAAACATATTAAGAATATTTTACATAATCAAAATCTGAAGATGAATAAACAAGCAGAAGTTGTTCTTTTAAGTTTTAATCTGATTTTTAAAATCAATAGAATGTGCTATTAACCAGTCCAAAAATAAATTGAAATATGAATGTTTTGGACATATATTAATACTTTTACTTAGGAATTTAAAGCATAAATGTCATGTTATCCGACCACTCGCAAGTCTGCAGCTACCACCTATCTTGTTGTAGCCAATGTTGTAGCAGTCTTTCCACATCGATTGTTCTCCCCAGTCCCCCTTTCTACAATGACCCTTACTAGAAGTCGTGGGATAATTCAGCCTTCCTTTACTGATTGTTGCCCCTCACTTTCTGCTGATGCTTCAAGGAAAGGATGTAACTGTTTTGGACAGCTCTTTAAAACCAGAGTTAAACCACCCTCCAATTTGCTACCGCCGATAGTCAATCAGTAGCAATTACGGACGGGGGCAGACTTCAGACTTAAGGAGGAAAGTTCTTCTTTTCATTAACAAGAGATACCTTTCATTAGCTTAAATTAATGCTTTTCAGGCATTAGGTATCTCAGGCAAAATACTACAAAATGCAAAAATAACTCTCAGTTTACCTTGACTTGCTTTTAGTTTTATAAATACAGAACTTCAAGCTGGCTTGCCTGATACTGGTTGGTTAAAGGGTTTCCAGTTTTATGGTCAAAACATAAAGTGTCTGGCTGAACCATGGGCTTCTTGAGTAATACTGGGATTCACTTTCCTGATTCTTGGACCTCACTTTCCCTGCTGGCAACCCCAACCCCCCCCCCCAGTGGAAATAATGAAAGTATTTATAAGTATGCATTTGCCATGTTAAGTAAGCGCTTAAGCACTTTTGCTGGAGTGGGGTCAGAGGGCTCAGTGTCTTTCAGGACTGAGCTGCAAAGACAAGTCAGGGAAAAGCAGCACCTTCTCGCTGTAAGAGCGTAAAGTTACGTCATCTCCAGGCCAGAGAGCTCAAGGTACTTCTACTGTAACCAGTAGTTCACATCTGTGCAGAATGAATGTGCAATAGTACAAAATCATAATTGCCTACTCACTCACTTGGGTGCCAGTGTTTCACACACATTTTAGACAGCTGTAAATGACTGTACAAAATTAAAGACAGTAGAGAGTCTTGAACCAATTAGGTTTCCTTCTGCATTCACACTCCATTTCTTTCAATTCTCGTATCTGTCATTCCTGAATGCCTGAGGAAGTGGAAGAGAATTGGTGCAGCGGGGGAAAAACAGACAAATAGCAGGAAGGGAAATGACACCAGGTTGGTGTTCCCTGTAATTTAAATATTCCTGAGTTTGGCCAAGAGTAGGACACAAGCTGCTTCCACGGTGTTTGGGTGCAATGAATCTTTGAATTACCGAGCAGAAGGAAGAGAGACAGATAGTCCACAGGTTTAAGATGACCATAGTTGTATAGAGAGCAGTTGTATTAGAATCATGAGTCTATCCTATGCCAGTAACAGCTGTGAAAAAAAAAAAACAACAGCAGAAAAAAGAAAGAGGGTTAATTTTTTGAATTAACCTTTATAATTAGACGGCTAATGAAGTAAACAGTAACTCAGTAACTGATACTTTTTTCACTGAAGGCACTCTGTCTGTCAGCTATAGGCTGTCTCCGTTGTATAAAACATTTAAACTCAGATGGAAGTTAAGGTCGGCTTGGGATATTTGCTGATCACATGAGCATTTATTTCTGTCGTAAGATTTTCAGAGTATAAGGAGTCCAGCTACAGTTGTAGGTTCACTAGTAACATCATTTAAGTTACGTGAAGTAAAAAGTGGTCTCCTGCTGGTTACTCTGATGGTTGTGCCAGGTATTCATAGAGGTCCAAGAAGAAACCATATAAAGCTCTTTCTTGTTGTCTGGGGCCCACCCTCGAGATCCCGGGCACTCTCTGCAAAGCATCTGAGGCTGTAGCTCCTCTTTTACTGCAGGTGTTTCACCACAGATGGCTCCAACAGCGTATGCTGTTCTCCAGAAGATATTAGGTCCTGTTTTTTCACCTTGCTGTTTTTGTTACCTGAAGAGAACAGGAATGAAATTGTTGTATTGGTGTCTTTTTTGTGCAGTAATCTCAGTGGTGTGTACACAGAGGTAGAACTGAATGCTTGAATTAGTCTGTCTACTTTAATCAGTGTTATACCTTTATATGTCAGTTTTATGTTTTAAAGTGAATCCTGTTGACACATATTTTGAAGCTTTTATGGTAGCATTACCTCTCTAAAGGTAAGAACAGGCTATGGAGTTACAGGCTGCAGCAGACGACGTGTATCAGGATCTGTGTGCTGCTGCCACTGAGAAATTCACGGTACCTTATTTTGTCCAAGAATAAAATGCAAAAATGGTGCCTAGGCATGTTACGCATTGATATTCATGGATAAAAATGCCTATTACTATTACTTCTTCTATTTTGCCATTTTCCTGGTGTTATAAAATACTCCATGTGAATTCGCAATGTCATTGTACATTTTTGTTTCTTTTAAAGTCACTAGGAGAGTTTACATTTAATCTATACTGGTATCTCTGTGACTTCATTGTGTTAGCCATCTATTCGTTTCTGGTAAATAAGGAAGTAAGAATCATTCCTACTCTAGGACATTTAAGAAAACACATTCCTAACATGTAAGGAAGCCATAAATGTTGAAAAGCAAGATTTGTCACTTAGCTTTTATATTCTCTGTAACATTTCTAAGGGCAGATTTTTTTTATTTTTAAATCAACAACAAAATCATTTGCACTGCAAAATGTCATGAGCAATTGAAGGAAAAGAAGTAAATGTAAAAGTGTTTCATTCTTTAGAAGTACTGGGTGTGAAGGTAACGTACCGAGTAGCTGAAGAACTTAGCTGTAGTTCTTGATAAATATATTAAATTTAACTTCTGTTTATTTCTGTAGCACCTAAGTGTGTCATGCACACTAATCAGTTGATTGGAATTGGTTTGGGGCTTGAGTAGAATAGATTAGGATAAAGGAATAATAATTTTAATACTCCTGTGAGTGCTCTCTCTCTTTCTTTTGCTCTCTCATTCTCTCTCTCTACTTCAATGAAATTTTTAATTAAAAAGTAATTGACTGGCTCCTTCAAGCAGTGGTTATTTATTTTATCTTATTTTCTTGCATTGTTTTGCTGACTGTACTGCATTCTGAGACAATTGGGGTTCTCAGAGAGGAGGTTTTATAAAAAGATGTGCAAAGAAGCATCTACAAGCCCCGGGTTTGACAGGGCTTTTGCTGAATGTAGGGAAGGCTGCAAGTGTGAAGCGCAGCCCGTGGCCTGCTGGTTCGCATTGATTCACACTTGAGAAAAGTTGATTCACAGTGATTTACACTTGAAGAAGCTCAGCAAAAGGGATATATGGCAGTATTCTGGAAAGCGAGAACTCATGATCACATATTCCTCTTGGCAAAGGGAGCGAGGAGAGTCAATTCATTCGGAAAGTTCTGGGTAACCAAAATAAGGCTAGTAGCACACATGCCGCTTTTGCCCCCTGAAGAACAGAAAGATCATTAGTTCTTCGTGTGTGTAATAACCTTTCTTTTTTTCACATTTTATTTCCCTACTCCCTAATTTTGAATCTCAGAATCTCTGCTGAAGTGTCTTTGGCGCATTGCTACTTCTGGAAGTCTATGACTGTTGCAAAGAAATCCCAAAGTCAGCCTCTGAACAGAACTGCAACCAATCCAGAGTACAAAACTGCTTTAATTTATTTGTCTCCCAGCTCCCTTTAGTGCAAGACCCCTGTCTGTTTCAACATTCGGTATTAATTGCGATGTTTGCACTTACCTTTCTGAATGTTGTGCCTCAGAAAGCAAGCGGCATTCTCTTCTGCTAAGAAGGATATATGGTCCAAACTCATGAACTGTCTCTTTAGAATAGTTCTTACGTATTTGCAGATGCTTTATTTTGCAATAATAGAATGAAGTAGGTGAAATAAATTGGATTCCAGAGAGGTCTTTCTCTCCACGGTTCCGTATATCTCTTAAGACATATCCTCTTACAGGTTTTGCCTCCAATCAGTAGAGCAATCATCAAGGAAAGATTGCCATCCATGTTAGACTAAGTAATAGGATTTAAGAATAATTTTTTCAGAGTAGAATTCTATGTTTACCTCCAACAACTTTGCAGCTGTTCTCCCTTACTCTAAAATAATGAGGTGTCAGGTGTTTAGTGATATACTTTATGAAATGATTCTGATTCTATTTTTATAATTTCCCCATATCCATTAAACGTTATGAAACGCAAGCTTTCATTACTTGGCCAAAAATAATTTTATTTATCTGCGAAGGAATTTGACAGACTGAGTTCAAAAGTTCAATGGCAAAACAGGATTTTTATAGTTTTTTTTTTTTTTTGCTGTTAGGCAATTTCATTTCCAAATGATTTCAGTTAATGGCACCTTCTGAGATAGAGCTAAATCCCTG